TTAATGTCTATTAGCAAATATTAATCATCTCTATATATTAATTGAGAAGACACTAAGTGAAAAGGTCATGTGTCACTCAAAGAAGATTTTAAAGGACGCATCAATTAAATTAACCAATCAAAACATTCGAATTAATTTTATATGCCATGTTGGAAATCTCTACATATTTACATTATTTTTTTTAACATGAACTCACAAATACATATGTTGCTAATTTAAATCCAACTAAAGTATAATATTTTAATATTTTAACGGTCAATCATTTATCGATATTAATTAATTTATAAAAATTGTATTTATTTATATTTGGATACTATATGTGATTGATCATACAATTCATTTGATTTTATATGTCTAATTCATCATTCTATTATTACGAAATTAATATCGAATCGCCTATATGTTATTGTTGTAATATAAATAGAAAATTGTGTTGTCATGAACAAAAATAAGCTTCCTTCAATAATAATGGGGCAATTACAAAAGTGTCATTTTTTGTGTGCACATTTGCAAGAATGTCACTTAGGAGTGTCCATTTACAAAAATGCCACTAATTATAGATTTATAAAGCCATATCTTAAAATTCTAAACTCTAAAAAATGTTTTGACACCTAAAACACCATAAACACTCAAAACTAAACCCTAATAGAACATAATTAACCTAAACATAAATAATAATAAAGAAAAAATAATTTTGAAAAAGTGNCATTTTTGTAAAGATTTCAAAAGTGTGGCATTTTTGTAAAGTGGCACTTGAAAAGTGGCACTTTTTGAAATTTCTCATAATAATTTATTTTAAGTATTAATGCTAATAAAAGATCATTTCAAACTAGAAATGAGATGGTAACGATGGTGGTTATACATTATTTGCTCTGGCCTTATGTAACAACATATCTTTATTTAGTATCACTTTTCTTACTATAAATTTGAAAACATCACAATTACAAATCTTCGTAGCAAATCAAATACAAAAACAGTTAAAGAGAAAGAGGGAAAACAATAAAAACAATTAATGGCTTCATACAAGAGCCTGACTGTGTTTTTATTTGCTACCATGATGATTATGTTATTAGTGTTTTGTGGGATTGGTGAAGCAGCAAGAAATCTGCAAGAGGAGAAATATATAGACTATGGAGCTATAGCAAAAGATAGAATTCCAAAATGCAGTGTCACTAACCCAAAGGAATGTGTCAAAAGTCCGGCTAATATTTACCATCGTGGTTGTGAAGATATTACAAGATGTCATCGTAATCCTCGTGTTTAATTATATATTTGTTTTCAAAATTAAATCATCATTCTTTTTAAGTATACTTTTATCGATTAATATTTCCATCGTAAAAATATGTAACTAAAAGTATATGTATTGAATTATTGTAATTTTTCATGTAAATTGTAATATACAGTATGTATCATGTAAATTTTTCATGTAAATTGTAATATACAGTATGTAACTAAAAGTATATGTATTGAATTATTGTAATTTTTCATGTAAAGTATATTACAGTCATGTAAATTTATGACTTACTGTTATCGCCTTTGTTTTTAGGTAATAACAATATTTTCAAAAATGGGAAAACCATAGTGAATAGTCATTTTCTATAAAAAAAAAAACTATTAAATAGAGCCCAAAATTAACTTTACATAATAAACACAGAAAAAAAAATGAATTTGATTACATAAACATTCCCAACACCTTAACTTTCCTAAACATACTCGATGTATCTTATTATATAAAAGAGGATGCGCACAATAAGAACGTGACACGTAAGCAAAATTGTAACTGATCAGAACGTGACATGTATCAAATATTAATCAGATGATGACATGTGTTGACACTTAAAACTAATTAAAAAAAAGGTAAAATAAAAATGGAAAACGAACAAAGTAATTTTCAAGTAACTAACCAAATAGTAAAAAAAAATTCGAATAGTTCCCACTAGCTAGATTAAAAAAATCTAATAGTTTAAACTAATTATAAAAAAAAAATTAAGAAAAAAATAGAGAGAGTATAAACCATAAGAAATAGAGAACACAAAAAATCAAGGAAGAAGAATATTATCGACGAGAGTTTGACACGTAAACAAAACTATAATTCACCAGATCGTGACATGTGTTCAATAATGATCATATGATAACATGCGTG